GAACTACTCACATCTGGAGTAGAAACTCCAGATCAGGAGTGGAAAATGACTTGTAATAATAAGTACCTAGAAAAACACAGAAATTATAACACTGTAATTGTGGTGTGTAAACTATTCATATCTGGAATAGAAAAACTAAAAGCTGAACCTACCAAAAATAATAACTACAAGAACTTTTATGGATTGCAGTGTGCTTCTTAATGGTGAAGTATGTTTCTTGTAGGCAATAGATCATTGGGTCTTGTTTTTTTTTATCCATTCAGCCACTCTATGTCTTTTGATTGGAGAGTTTAGTCCATTTACATTCAATATTATTATTAATAGTAAAGACTTACTTCTGCAATTTTGTTTGTTGTTTCCTGGTTGTTTGGTGTCTTCTCTTCCTTCTTTCCTTCCTTCCTGTCTTCCTTTTAGTGAAGGTGATTTTCTCTGGTGGTATGTTTTAATGTCTTGCTTTTAATTTTTTATGTATCTGCTGTATGTTATTTTATTTGAGGTTACTATAAGGTGTGCAAATGATATCTTATAACCCATTTTTTAAACTGATGGCAACTTAATGCTGATTACATAAACAAACAAGCAAAGGGAAAACTAATAAAACTCTACACTTTAACTTCATCTCCCTGCTTTTTTACTTTTTGTTGTATCTATTTATAGAACGGATATTGTAGTTATTAGTTTTGATAGGTTTATTTTTAGTCTTTCTACTCAAGATATGAGTAGTTTACACACCACAATTACAGTGTTGTGATATTCTGTGTTTTTCGGGGTACTTCCTATTATGAGTGAGTTTTGTACACTATGATCTCTTACTGCTCATTAACATCCTTTTCTTTCAGATTAAAGAACCCCCTTTAGCATTTCTTGTCTACACAGGTCTGGTGTTGAGTAAATCCCTCAGTTTTTGTTCATCTGAGAAAGTCTTTATTTCTCCTTCAGGTTTGAAGGATATTTTCACTGGATATACTATTTTAGGATAAAAGCTGTTTTTCTTTCAGCACTTTATGTCACGACACTCTTCAGACCTGGGAGGTTTTCACTGAGAAGTCTGCTGCTAGACATACTGGAACTCCTTTGCATGTTATTTGTTCCTTTTCTCTTGTTCCTTTTAGGATCCTTTCTTTGTCCTGGACTTTTGGGAGTTTGATTATTAAATGTCTTGAGGTAATCTTATTTAAGTTAAATCTGCTTGGTTTTCTACAACCTTCTTGTACTTGAATACTGATATCTTTCCTTAGGTTTGGAAAGTTTTCTGTTATTATCCCTTTAAATAAACTTTCTATCCTAGTCTCTCTGTCCACCTCCTCATTAAGGCCAATAATTCTTGGATTTCCCCTTTTAAGGTTATTTTGTAGATCCTGTGGGTATACTTCATTCTTTTTTATTCTTTTTTCTTTTGTCTCCTCTGAGTGTGTATATTTCAAATAGCCTGTCTTCAAGTTCATTAATTCTTTCTTCTGCTTGATCGATTCTGCTATTAAGAAACTGTGATTCATTCTTCAGTATGTGCTGCTGGCAGGGGAGGGGCAGAGTGGTACAGGAAATTCAAGACTCTTTCCTACCCTCTTCAGTGCCTCTTTACTTAATATGATGTTAAAAGCAGGTAGTGTGGTCACTCACCTGGATTTTGGTTCTTACAAAGGTGCTTTGTTTTGTGAATAGCTGTTCAATCTGGTGTTCCTGTAGGGATGTGGGGGCAATGATTTCTGAAGGTCTTTGTTCAGCTATCTTGTTCCACTCCTCCTTAAATTGTACTGTTTTTTAATCTTTAAAGTTTTATTAGAGACAACGTCTCACTATCTTGCCCAGGCTAGCCTTGAACTCCTGACCTCAAGTGATCCTCCCACCTTAGCCTCTCCAGTAGCTGGGACTATAGGCACACATGGCCACATCCAGGTTCTAGTCCTATTCTTTATGCCAAGACTGAGTGTCATTTCTTCAACTGCCTGGATGTCATTTTATACATGTCCTACCTGCCACCTTACCCACAACACATTTAAAACCCCAATCACCTTTATCTACGACCATTTCCAGATGGTGGCCAGTCTCATAAGGAAGATAAGAATTCACAGAATAGTACAGAAATTCATTAGTGATTAACTTTTGTTTACAAAAAAAGTGATATGACAGAACCAGAGAGTTCTCTAGGCTCCAGTCATCAGAGATTTTAAGGCAAAGGCTACACACATTCTAAAATTAAGCCAGAGATAGATGGGAGTGGCTGTCAGGAAATCCGGTCCACAGTAAAATGGCAGAACAAAGGCTGATGTCTGTTAATTAAGGGAAAGCATCTGGGACAAGAAAGTTTATGAGGGTTCTATTGCAGCAACAGCAAAAGATCTGCTGACTCAAGAAGTTTTTAGAGCTGTCTAATTAGATCCTATGTTTAGCGTAAATACCTCCAGGCTTTCAAGAGCCTTGGCAAATCCAAGTTTCCTTAAGCAAGGAATACTTCTCCAATAAGGAGGCTCTGGTACCTAGTCCACCCCCATGGAGAGATAATGAGGTTCTGCCTAGGGAAGGGCGAAAACAATGATCTGATAGTATCTGGGGCCCCAAGAATTTAGTAGGCTGGTTCTCCCTTCATAGGCATCACAGAGCATGTTTGCCCTCATTATTGGAACAAGTATCAATACCTTTGATGCTATTCCCCCCTTTCCAGCCAGCCTTGAGGATACCTGGCAGTCTGAGTAGGTTAGTGATAGTGTATAGTAAGTGTCCTAAAGTGAAAATCACAGTAAAGATAGCATGCTGCCTTTGGAAAGGCATGGAAGATGGACAGAGATGTACCCATCAGGTCTGCTGAGCCACCAGAGAGAGACGAAATATTTGACTCTTCCACTATGAAGCAGTAAGAGAGTTGACTCCACAGAATATTGTCCAATATAGCATGTATAGGAACCAATGAATTCAGAAAGCATTGAGGACTTCCTTTGGTGAATAGTGTAAAAGAAAGTTCAAAGGTGGTGCAACATCTTTTTGCAGGTCCCTTTGAATGCATGAAAGGATATAATAAATGCATAATAATTTTTTTTGAGACACCATCTCGCTCTGTCACCAGGCGCCAGGCTGGAGTGCAGTGGCACAATCTTGGCTCACTACAACCTCTGCCTCCCAGGTTCAAGCAATTCTCCTGCCTCAGCCTCCCGAGTAGCCGAGTAGCATGGCATGCCACCAAGCCCAGCTAATTTTTGTATTTTTAGTAGAGATGGGGTTTCATCATATTGGCCAGGATGGTCTTGATCTCTTGACCTCGTGATCCGCCCACCTCGTCTTCCCAAAGTGTTAGAATTACAGGCGTGAGCCACTGGGGCCGGCCAATAAATGCATAAGAATTTTAGATAGCTCAATCATACATAAATTTTTTTGGCTCAACTCACGCACAGAATTGAAGTAGTTCCACCCTAGGGTAAACAACATACTTTTTGGGATCATGAAGTAGTTCACAGGACCCAGTGATAAATATCAAAAGATCCACATATACCCCAGATTGGTACGAATATATATGTGCATGTTTCTGGGGAAATGATTCATTGCATTCATCAGAAACTTGAAAGTTCAAAAGCTGAAAGGTCTTTGTAAGCTAAGTAGTATCACTATATTTTCAAGTACATTCTCAAATAGGTAGTTTCAACATTTGATCACCTGAGTGCAAACTGGATTGTACGTCTTTGAGAGGCTTAGTTTAAATCAATCTATGCTTGACCGGAAGTGACCTAAGAAACTCAAAGATATCAATCCATTCCTCCCCAGTTGAGAAAGAGAGAGAGAGAGAGAGAGAGGTGGGGAGGGGGAGAGAGAATATGTATGTTACACTCAGATTATTTCTGTACTCTGCAGTCTATTTCGGTGACTACAGAAATAATTATCTATCTCTGGTGGCTCAGCAGACCTAATGGTGCATCTCTGTCTATTTAGATCTTGCCAACTTTTTAATGAAGTCTAGACACAGACATTGCTCTAACAGTGTGAGAGGGTTATGCTAATCATGCTATACTTCTGCATGCATAATATAAATGGATACCTGCTGATCTCATTCTCATTCATATATCATATATCCCACTCTCCTAGGGAGCTGTTACATCCCTTTTATCTGTCTCTATCAGCCAATTGTCTTGCTTCCTACTTCACTGAGAAAACTAAAGTTAACAGAAGAAAACTTCCACAGATTCACACCTCCTCATATACCCACCACTGGGTACTGACATTCAAATTCACTTTCCAACCTGTTATTGTTTTCCTCCTCAGCATTGGATTCCATTCTTTCTCAAGGACATCACCCTAGCAAATTTCTTCTCTCTCTTGTTCAGACATCACTTTCTCCTTTCTTTTGGATCATTTCCATTAACACATAAAACGAGCTACAAGCTATTACTTATCCTATCCTAAAATACCCACACATGTGCACACACACATACACATACACATACACATACACATACACACACACACACGCACACACACAAATTTTGCCCCACTTCATCCTGTATCTGCTTCCAGAGAGCCCAACATACAACGATGTCCAAAACTAAATTTCTGGTATTTGTTGCTCAAACCCACTCTTCTTCTCCACTTCTCATTTCTGTTGATAGTAACTGCATCCTTCCGGTTTCTAAGGCTAAAAAGTTTAGAATCATCCCAGGCTTTTCCTCTTACACCCATATTCAATCTGTCAGGAAATCTCACAAATGATTCCTACTTATCATTCGAGGTTCTAATTAAGTTCCTATATGTCTTCTTGAAGCCTTCAAAAGTACTTCTGACTTCACAGACTTCTCTCTTTTTCTACTTATCTCTGCTGGCACTTCCATTGTGTGTTCTAATGCCTGTAAATATTATCTTTTCCAACTCATTGCAAATACGAACTATAGCTCAGACCATCTGCCTCCTATAGGACTACAGACAATAATATGTTTTTAGTAAAGAATCCACAAACATCACTCTAAGTGATTGTTTTTGCTTCAAGCTTCCAATAAAATTGGTACATAAATAATACTTACTTTGATTAGTGATGTTTGGGTACAGATTTTCCAACTTTCCTGCATCTGCAAAGGTGTCTGTCATTTTTCCAAACACCAGCATCATGAGGGGAAGTGATGCCCCATGGATGATGGCAAACAAAGTTCCCACCACCATATACAACTTGTCAAGCCAATTTGAATAGCGAAACTAAAAAGAGAAAAAAAGGAATAGAAGAGGAACAATTAGTACAGTTTCATGGATGATTTGCTTTCCTTTCAAAATATATCCAAAATCCAATCATTTTTCAGATTACTACTGATACCACCCTAGTCCAAGGTACCCTCTTACCTTTGCTAAATTATTGCAATAGTCTAATTAGAAATGGACATTTGATTCTTCCATTGAGTTCTGGCCTAATTCTTCATCCTGGACTTTGTCTGTTTATATGAAATCTAATAGAAGGATGGGACATTCTGGGAAAGAGTAAAAGTATATAATGGTGCCATAATATAGTATTTGTTGCTCTAGTTTCTAAGAATAGAAATCACTTATCATCTCATGGGCAAAAAACCGGAATGTCAAAGGCCCTTCTGAGAATACCACGGAGGAAACATTGTGTTGCTTTAACAAAGCGGTTTGGGTTAAAGACCTGCCACACAATGGAATTAACATAAATGTAAAATGATTTGAAGATAATTAGGCCTCAATAATGAGCAGAAAAAAGAAAGGAATGAGTCTGATGCATGCTTCTCTGGGAACATTTTTCCTGAGAAGACAGAATATGGCAATAATGAATGACTAATGGAGATCTGCATAAATCTCTTTTAATGTAGGCAAGTCACAGGAAGGAAAGAAAGCTTCTCTGAACCCAAAAAGTTACAGGATATAGTTAAGAGGAATGGGCTCAGGGCCCACTTGGGAAGCAATTAATACTGTTCCTCTATAACTCAAGGAACTAGCTAAGGGTTGAAAGAAAACCAAAGGAAAGGAAACAGAAACAGGGTAAAGCCAGCTGTGGGTGTCTATGGATAAACCCCAGGGTAGGAGGTTATCATGTGGATGTAGCTGTAGGCAACAGGTTTGTAATGCAGGGAGGAAACTGGGTAAAAATTCATAGGCCTAGGCAGGAAATATAAACCAAAACAAAGATCAGGCAGCAAAAAAGACACAGCCACAGAAAGCAATATTTTAGAACTTACATATACTTCACAAAGGGACAGAGACCAGTCCTAAAGTTAGCTTACTCTAATCTTACAGCAGTAAGTGGGGGATTTGGTACTGAACTGCTAAGTGGAGAAATAAAGAATGATTATTAGCAGTAGTGAATGTCAGACTGTAAAGCAGGAGAGAAAAAGTAAAATCAAATTATGAAATGATTAATCAAAGTTAAGGTCTGGTGTAAAAAAGAGTATCTAATACATACTTAAGCATTTAAACTTTTTCTAGCTCTTAAAAATGTAATCAAACAAGCTTAAGTTTGGGTTCTTGACATAACTTTCCGTGTTATGTTATGGGTTGACAACCTAAAAACATCATCATATTTACAGATTAAAACATTAATGGAGAATCATGTTTTAGTATATTTTTTCATATTTCATTGAAACACTGGCTAAATTTTGCATTATGTACTTTGTCTTAGTAAGAATTCATCTGCTTCCTTAAACACAAATGAAGGGGAAGAGGTCTTTTTTTAGAGATTATATTAAAGTAGACCAAATATCAAATTCAACAGTACAGGAAGAGAAGATAGTTGATATGCAAAGATTTCTCTCATCACCACCAACACAGGACATTTTACCTCCAGAACTATCATTGGCCATAATAAAAATAAGTGGATCATGAATGGAAACATTTACCAAATACCTATTCAATGACAAATAAATGCCAAAGATATAACCCCTGCCTTCAGAGAGATTAAAGAAAAATGTATATGCAATTATACTCTGCATGCTTTGACAGCACAGTGTATAGAACAGACATAAAATTGAGTCAATCATTATTCCCTCCTTTGTGGAAAGGCTTCCTATTATAAAAGAGGTGATGTTTCCTTCCAGGTTTGAAAGTTGACCAAGTGTTAAAAGCAAAGAAGAAAAAAGGCATTCAAGCCAGAAAGAACAGTAAACTGAGACAGAAAAGAGCACAATGTATTTAGAAAAGACTGGGGACCCTCAAGTTTGGGGTCTAAAGTGTGGAAACAAAAAGAAATAGCTGACTGATCAAAAGACACCCTTCACTGAGCTGGGAAAATTGGAATTACATCTCTTAATCTTAGACTAGAAGGAAGGAGTACTAATTTTCCAGAAATAAAGACAGAAAATTGAAAGAGTTCAGAACCTTATATTTCCTTTTGTATTTATTTTATTTTATTATTTTTTATTTTAACTTTTAAGTTCAGGGTTACAAGTGCAGGTTTGCTATAAAGGTAAACTTGTTTCATGTGGGTTTGTTGCACAGATTATTTCATCACCCAGGTACTAAGCTTAAGACCCATTAGTTATTTTTTCCTGATCCTCTCCCTCCTCCCACACTCCACCCTCCAAAAGGCCCCAGTGTGTGTTGTTCCCCTCTATGTGTCCATGTGTTCTCATCATTTAGCTCCCACTTATAAGTGAGAACATGCGGTTTTGGTTTTCTGTTCCTGCGTTAGTTTGCTAAGGATAATGGCCTCCAGCTCCAGCCATGCCCTGCAAAGGACATGATCTTGTTCCTTTTCATGGCTGCATTGTATTCAATGGTGTATATGTACCACATTGTCTTTAACCATTCTATCATTGATGGGCATTTAGGTTGATTCCATGTCTTTGCTATTGTGAATCGTTCTGCAATGAACATACAACACATGTGTCTTCATAGTACAATGATTTATATTCCTTTGGGTATATATCCAGTGTTAAGTATAAGAAAACCCCCTCCATGCAGGCTGACCTCTTCCCTCCCTCTGATTGCTCTGCAGCTACATTCCTGAACCCCTCCCTAGGTGCCACACCAAGGCTGCCAGATGTGCTGCAATTAAGCAAAGCCTGATTACAGCCCTCCGGGCAGCTCAAAGGAGGACAGGGAAAACAGAGGTTGGTTACCCATGCTTGTAAATTCCTGTTTAACACATATCTGTAAAAAAAAAAAAAACTCCCGGTTTCTCTTGTTTTTTTTAAAAGACTGCCACCACAAAAGTCACAGGATGATGTAATATAAGTCTGTTATAAATTAACAAACTATCTCTGTGCCTGTTACCAGCAGATAGATTATCTCAGTCCTAAAACCCCCTTATTCTTGCCTCACCCCATATAAACCTCTCATTTTATAAGCTCAGGCATGCCCTCTCTGATTGTTACAGAGCAGCCTGGCAGATTAATAAAACTTGCTTGCCTGACTTTGGATCTATTCTGCTTTCTCTCAGCTACCCTTATACCCAGTAATAAGTCAAACGGTATTTCCATCTTTAAGTCTTTGAGAAATCACTACACTGTCTTCCATAATGGCTTAATAGTGTATAAGTGTTTCTTTTTCTCCACAATCTTGCCAGCATCTGTTATTTTTTTACTTTGTAATAACAGCCATTCTGACTGGTGTTAAATGGTTTCTCATAGTGGTTTTGGTTTGCATTTCTCTAATAATCACGATGTTGAGCTTTTTAAAAATATGATTGTTGGCCACACGTCTTTTGGGAAGTGTCTATTCACGTCCTTTGCCCACCTTTTTATTGGATTCTTTGTTTTTTCTTGGTAAATTTGTTTAAGTTCCTTATAGATGCTAGAACCTCATATTTCTTTGTGGCATGAAGTAGATTGATTTCTAGAATGAAGGGGGTGAGAAGGGTTGAGGAAAGTGGTAACATAATGCTGTGTAGGATAAAAGCCTCAGTCAAATGCCTTTGCTCTGTAGTTTATTAGGAAGGAGACTTTAGGGGAAACAAATCTTAATAACCTTGAGCCCCAGTTTCTGAATTTACAAAATGAGGAAAATATTCATACATGCAGAAAACCTTACATAGCTGTTACAAGGATATAAATGAGAATACAAGAAACTTTTATTGAGCCTACAATATGCAAATACATGATATAAGCAGGTACTATTACTGGTTTTGGAAAATATAATAATTAACAAGACTTTTCAGTCTCATAAAGTCAAAGAGCAGGCGACCAAAAAGCATTGTAACACAGGTGAAATGTAAGAAGTATAAACTAATTGTAATTGAAGCCTTTTTTATTTAAAAAAATGGGCTGAACATGATGGCTGACATCTGCAGTCCCAACACTTTGGGTGGCTGAGGGCAGGAGGATCGCCTGAGCCTAGGAGTTTCAGTACCAGCCTGGGCAACACAGGGTTTGTTCTACAAAAAAGAATTTTAAAATTATCTGGGTGTGGTGGCATATACCTGTGGTCCTAGCTACTCCAGAGGCTGGGGTGGGACGATCACTTAAGCCTAGGAGGTTGAAGCTGCAGAGAGCTGTGATCATGCCACTGTACTCCGGCCTGGGTGACAGAGTAAGACAAAACATACACACACACACACACACGCACGCACGCACACACACACACACACACAAAAGAAAGAAAAGAAAGAAAATGGAAAATGTTTGATTAGATGCTAGCAGGAAAGAGAGAGAACATGAAACCAGAACCACATAAAAGGCATGTTGATCAGTGCTGAATGCCAAAGGTTAGGCTTCCCAGGGCAAACAAGTAGAAGGTACTGACAGGAAAGAGGTTTAGGCACATTCAGCAGGTTAGAGGGCAAACGTGACCTGGATTTGAGAGGGAATTCATTCATTCATTCATTTAATATTCAAGGGATATGTGAATATTTTCAAGTATCTTTCAAATATTTGAAAGCACCTAATGAGGTCAGGCTTGGTTCCAGGTACTGATAACAACGGTAAGATAAGCTACCTATCCTCACAAAGCATACATTCTAGTGCATATAGTAAAAGAGGAAATAGATGCATTCAACATTCATTCAATAGTTAAGTTCCTATCAAAGTTCCAGCCACTGTTTCAGGGCATTTGGGGAACAGTAGAGAACAAAATATACAAAAAAAGAAACCTCCTGCCCCCTTGGAGCTTACCTTCAGAGAGAAGACAAACACATAAAAAAGAAACCAGATAGTGATAAACATTCAGAATAAATGTCATACATGGTATGACCCAGAGGCAGGCAGGGTCAGCTGGTTTAGATTGGCTGGTCAGAGAATGTCTTTCTCAGGAGA